ATTTTAGTCATTCTGACTGCTGTGAGGTGGTGTCCCATGTGGTTTAGACTTATATTTCCCTGATGCCAAGTGATGTTGAGCATCTTTTCATGTGTCTGCTGACGATTTGTATGACTTCTTTGGAGAAATATCTGTTCATGTCTTCTGTCCATTTCTTAACTGGATTATTTGTTTTTTGGGTGTTGAATTTGATAGGTTCTTTATAGATTCTGGATACTAGCCCTTTATCTGATGTGTCATTTGCAAATATTTTCTCCCATCCTATAGGCTGCCTTTTGGTTTTGTTAACTTTCCTTTGCTGTGGAAAAGCTTTTTCTCTTGATGAAGTCCCAATGTTTCATTTTTGCCTTTGTTTCCCTTGCCTTTGGAGACATGTCCAGCAAGAAGCTGCTGAGAGTGAGGTCGAAGAGGTTGCCTCCTGTGTTCTCCTCTAGGATTTTGATGAATTCCTATCTCATATTTAGATCTTTCATCCATTTTGAGTCTATTTTTGTGTATGCTGTGAGGAAATGGTCCAGCTTCATTCTTCTGCATGTGGCTGTTCAATTTTCCCAACGCCATTTGCTAAAGAGACTTCTTCCATTGAATATTCTTTCCTGCTTTGTCGAAGATTCGTGGAACATGGCATTGAGGGTCCATTTCTGGGTTCTCTCTTCTGTTCCATTAATCTGTGTGTCTGTTTTTGTGCCAGTAGTATACTGTCTTGGTGATTACAGCTTTGTAATAGAGCTTGAAGTCTGGAATTGTGATGCTACCAGTTTTGGTTTTCTTTTTTAACATTCCTTTGGCTATTCAGGATCCTTTCTGGTTCCATACAAATTTTAGGATTATTTTTTCCAACTTTGTGAAATAAGTGGATGGAATTTTGATAGGGATTGCACTGAACATAAAGATTGCTCTAGGTAGCACAGACATTTTAACAATATTTGTTCTTCCAATCCATAAGCATGGAACGCTTTTCCATTTCTTTGTGTCCTCCTCAATTTCCTTCAGGAGTATTCTACAGTTTTCTGAGTATAGATCTTTTGCCTCTTTGGTTAGATTATTCCTAGGTATCTTATGGTTTGGGGTGCAATTGCAAATGGGACTGATTCCTTAATTTCTCTTTCTTCTGTCTCATTGTTAGTGTATAGAAATGAAACTGATTTCTTTGCATTGATTTGATATCCTGCCGCTTTGCTTAATTGCTGCATGAATTCTATCAATTTTGAGGTCGAGTCTTTTGGGTATTCCACATAGAGTATCACGTCATCTGCAAAAAGTGAGAATTTGACCTCTTTGCCAATTCGGATGCCTTTTATTTCTTTTTATTGTCTGATTGCTGAGGCTAGGACTTCTACTACTATGTTGGACAACAGTGGTGAAAGTGGACATCCCTGCTGTGTTTCTGCTTAGGGGAAAAGCTCTCAGTTTTTCCCCATTGACAATGATATTTGCTGTGGGCTTTTTGTACATGGCTTTTATGATATGGAGATATGTTCCCTCTATCCCTATACTGTGAAGGGTTTTAATCAAGAAAGGATGTCGTACTTTGTCAAATGCCTTTTCAGTGAGGTCTTCCACCTCATTGATTAAATTTATTCCTAAAAAAAAATAATAAATATAAATTTATTCCTAAAGATTTTTCTTTGATGCTATTATAAATGGAATTTTTTTTTTAGTTTCTTTCTCCAGTTTATTCTTAGTCTACAGAAACACAACTGATTTTTGCATATTAATTTTGTACCAAATTTGTTCATCACTTCTAACAACTTTTTGTTAGGATCTTTAGGGTGTTCTCTTATATAAGATCATGTTACCCTGCAAACAGAAAAATTTCACTTTTTCTTTCTGATTTGGATGGCTTTCTTTTTCTTGCCTAATTACTCTGGGTGCATGTATATATTTGTTATTTCTTCTTGATGAAGTAACTTTGGGGGGGAAAATGCCTGCTGTCAGCCCTGCTAAGGATTCTGAGGCTTTATCACAGCTTCCCTACAAATATGCCTACTCCGAACTTCTTGTTCCCTCTTAGGGGTGAATTCTTAGAACTGTACGCCTTCTCGTAATTCCATAAAGCCAGGCTATGTGCGGAGTCTCCTGTTTGCTCTCGCTAAAGAGCGCTGAATGCTCAAGTTTGTATGCTGTCTTCCAGTTCTACAGGGTTGAGCTGGCTTTCTACTTATTCTCAGTAACTGCCCACAAAGACTCGCACTCATTGCTCTCAGAGGCACACGCAACTATGGGGTGGAGTATCATGTGGGTAAGGAGAATAATGCTAGAAATGCTTGTGGTCAGCTGGAGGGATTCAAAGGCCAAGTGTCCCCAGCAGCTTGTGGTCAGGTTTCCTTTTTTTTTTTTTTTTTTTTTTTTTTTTTTTTTTTTTTTTTTTTTTTTTTTATGATAGGCACACAGCGAGAGAGAGAGAGGCAGAGACATACGCAGAGGGAGAAGCAGGCTCCATGCACCGGGAGCCTGATGTGGGATTCGATCCTGGGTCTCCAGGATCGCGCCCTGGGCCAAAGGCAGGCGCCAAACTGCTGCGCCACCCAGGGGTCCCCGTGGTCAGGTTTCCTAATGGAGTCTGTGAAGTGGTAAGACCTGTGTAACTTGAGTTTTGAGCACTGGCAGTTAAGCGTAACAGTGCAGAATCTCCCTGCCCCTCAGTCATGGAGATCATCCCCGTATTCTGAAAGAGTAGGAAAGAAGTGGGTGTCTTTGACAACATCCTTTATAGCTGGGGAAGTTGGAAACTCACTCACATGCTCTCACTTTACCCTGTGGGAAAAACTGCAGGCCAAGTTTGTCTCTTTTGGCACAGAGCTGTACCATCTTGGAGATGCAGTGACATAGGTGAAATGAAACTTTTCTGCTTACCCTCTTCACTCTTTCCAATCTCAGATTTTTTTTTGTCCTCCCAATGGTGTACTGAACTTCTCTACTGGATTCCTGGGTCCCATAAAGGTACTCACAAAAACTTATCAAAATCAGTGTTCTTTGGGGGGAAAGACGGTAGATTGCTGAATTGCTGATGCCATTCTCCTTGGATTTACTGTTCTTTCAAGGTTTGGTAAAATTTCCCAGTGAAATTTTGAGGGTAGATCTTTAACAATATTCTCAAGTTTTTATTTGGAAGTTTGTCTATTTTGATGTTCCATCTCTTCTAGGGTGAGGTTTGGTAGATTATGTATTCTCAAAGAATTATTCATTTTATTTACATTGTAAAATAAATTTATATACAGTGAAATGGAGTGTGGCTTCTAAATTTCCTGTTTCAATAGTTTCTCCGTCTCATTAATAGTGTTTCTGTGCCTTCCTCCCCTATCTGCAAACTTCTGTTTGGAACTTAATTACATAATTAAAAATAATCAATGTCACTATAAGCTTATGCTGGTTTCCCCAATCATATCTTGGCTATGGATTCCTCTACTGTGGGACTGGAATAGTATTTTTCCTTTTTTTTTTTTTTTTTTTTTTGGCGGAAAGGGCCAGATAGCAACTTTATATTAAAGTCCCCATTCAGGGATCCCTGGGTGGCGCAGCGGTTTAGCGCCTGCCTTTGGCCCAGGGCGCGATCCTGGAGACCCAGGATCGAATCCCACGTCGGGCTCCCGGTGCATGGAGCCTGCTTCTCCATCTGCCTGTGTCTCTGCCTCTCTCTCTGTCTCTCTGTGACTATTGTAAATAAATAAAAATTCAAAAAAAAAATAAAGTCCCCATTCAGGGCAGCCTGGGTGGCTCAGTGGTTTAGTGCCGCCTTCAGCCTGGGGCATGATCCTGGGGTCCTGGGGCTGAGTCTCACGTCGAGCTCCCTGAATGGAGCCTGCTTCTTCCTCTGCCTGTGTCTCTGCCTCTCTCATGAATAAATAAATAAAATCTTTAAAAAAATATAGAGTCCCCATCGTCTCATTGCATGCTCTTCTGTTTATTTCAAAATTCTTAATATAAATATATGCTAGAAGTAAGTGAGAGCTCTGGTTGCTCCACATTTTCACGAGGAATTGGTATTGTCAGTGTTTTGGATTTTGTCAATTCCCTAACAACATACGATGTTGACTACCTTGCATCTGTATTATCTTCTTTGGTGGGGGTCTTTTCAGGTATGTTGTGTATTTTTCAATAGGGGTTTTTTTCTTATTGAATTTTAAGAGTTCTTTGTATTTGTTCCATAAAACAGATTAAGTCTTTGCAAATATTTTTCTTTTAAAAAACTGTATTTATTTGAGACAGAGCACGAGCAAGAAAGAGAAAGAAAGCATGAGCAGGGAAGAGGGACAGAGAGAGGGAGAAGCAGGTTCCCCACTGAGCAGGGAGCTCAATGTGGGGCTTGATCCCAAGATCTGGGATCATGATCTGAGCCAAAGACAGATGCTTAACCAACAGAGCCACCCAGGCGCCCTACAAACATTTTCTTCTAATCTGTGACTTATCTTCCCATTCTCTTGACCTTATCTTTCACAGAGCAGTTTTTAATTTTAACATAGGCCAGATTACCATTTATTTCTTTGACTAATCGTGCCTTTGGTGTCATATGTAAAAAGTCATTACCATACCTAAGGGCATCTAGGCTTTCTTCTAGGTTATCTTCTAGTTTTATAGTTTTCCATTTTATATCTAGGCCTATGATCCACTTTATTACTTTTGAAAGGTGTCTAAATTAATTTTATTGCACGTGCATGCCCAATTTTCCAGCATCTTCCATTGTATTGCTTAACTCCATTGTCAAAAACCAATGGAGCATCTATAGCAGACTAGATTTAAGTGAGTCTATTTCTGGGCTCCCTATTCTATTCTCTCCATCTATTGGTCTGTTCTTGCACCAGTACCACACTGTTTTGATTACCACAATTTTATAATATAATTATTATACACATATGTGCACAAGCAGGGGGAGCAGCAGTGGGAGAGGGAGAAGCAGATTCCCCGCTGAACAGGGAGCCTGACCTGGAGCTTGATCCCAGGACCTGAGCCAAAGGCAGATGCCTAACTTACAGGTGCCCCTGTGTTGTGTTTTGTTTTGTTTTTTAATGGAACACTTCACGATTTGTGTGTCATCCTTGCAGAGGGACCATGCTAATCTTCTCTGTATACTTCCAATTTTAGTATATGTGCTGCCAAAACAAGCATAAATGGTATTGTGTTTTTAATTTCAAATCAAACTTACTCATTGCTGTTACATAGAAAAGTGACTTATTTTCCTGCTTATTAACTGATATTTTTGTTATTTCTGATTTTTGACATAGAAAGATCATGTCATCCACAAAGACAGTTTTATTTCTTCCTTCCCAATCTATATAACTTAAAAGCAAAAGACAAAAAAGTCTTTACTACAAGGGAAAACCCATAAGGCTAATAGGAGACTGTTCAACAGAAACATGGCAAGCCAGATAGGAGTGGAATGATACATTCCAAGTGTTGAAGGGAAAAAATATGCAAGGAGCTCGATGCGGGACTCAATCAGGTGATCAGGCCCTGGGCTAAAGGCAGCGCTAAACCGCTGAGCCACCCCAGCTGCCCCTAGACCCTTTTAACAGTAAGACCAAAACACACCCAGGATCTAGTTTTTTTGTTTCTGTTTTATCTTTTTTTCTTTCTGTTTCTTTTTTTTTTTCTTTCTTCTTTATTTTATGGACAAAACGACAAGATGGATAAATTCACTCCAAAGGAAAGAAAGTAGAACTCATGGCCAAGGGCTTAATCAATAAAGATAGAAGTAAGATGTCTGAACTAGAATTTAAAACAATGATTATGGGATGCCTGGGTGGCTAGTGGTTGAGCATCTGCCTTTGCCCCAGGGTGTGATCCTAGAGTCCAGGGATTGAGTCCCATATGGGGCTCCCTGTGTGGAGCCCGCTTCTCCCTCTGCCTGTGTCTCTGCCTCTCTCTGTGTGTCTCTCATGAATAAATAAATAAAATCTTAAAAATAAATAAATAAAATTTAAAAAACCCAATGATTATAAGGATACTAGCTAGGCTTGAAAAAAGCATAGAAGACACTAGAGAATCCTTTATTACAGACATAAAAGAACTAAAATCTAGTCAGGTCGAAATTAAAAATGCTATAACCAGGCTGCAATCCCAAATGGAGGTCATAAAAATGAGGATGGATGAAGCACAGGAATAATACTGATATAGATGATAAAATTATGAAAAATAATGAAGCTGAAAAAAAACAGGGAAAGAAAGGTAGTGGACCACCGAAAGTAGACTTAGGGAACTCAGCAGCGGATAAAAATGTAATAACATTTGTATGATAGTAGTCCCAGAAGATGAAGAGAGAGAAAAGGGGGCAGAATGTTCATTCAAACAATTGATAGCTGAAAACTTCCCTAACTGAGGGAATGACACTGATATCAAAATCCAAGAAGCACAGAAAACTCCCATGAAATTCAACAAAAGCTGACCATCAACAAGGCATATCATAGTCAAATTCACAAAATACACAAACAAGGAAAGAATCCTGGAAGCAACAAGGGAAAAAAAAGTTCTCTATCTACAAGGGGAGACGGATCAGGTTCATAGCAAATCTATCCACAAACAGGAGTGAATGTAAATGTATAACCCTATTCCGAATGGGAAAAATATGCAGCCAAGAAGAAGTCCTTATCCAGCAAGGCTATCATTCAGAATGGAAGGAGAGATAAAGACTTTTTCCCAGACAATCAAAAACTAATGGAGTTTGTGATCTCTAAAACAGCCCTGCAAGGAATTTTAAGGGGAATTCTTTTGAGTGGAAAAAACCAAAACCAAAACAAACAAACAAACAAACAAAAAAAAAACAAAAACAAGAAAAACTAGAAAGGATGTAGAGTATCACCAGAAACACCAACTTCACAGGTAACACAACACAATGGCACTAAATTCATCTTCCAATAATCACTCTGAATGTAGTAAGTGGACTTAATACTCCAATCAAAAGACACAGGACATCAGAATGAATAATAAAAAAAAGATCTCTTTATAAGCTGCCTACAAGAGACTTATTTTAGAACTAAAGAATCCTGCAGATGGAAAGAGGAGATGGAGAAATCATCTATCATGCTAAAGGATATCAGAAAGAAGCTGGGAGTGGCCAAACAAAAAGAAATAAAAGGCATTCAAATTACAAGGAAGGATAAAGCTTCCACTCTTTGCAGATGACATGATGTTCCATGTAGAAAATCCGAAAAACACCACCAAAAAATTGCTAGAATACGTGAATGCATCAAAGTTGCAGAATATGAAGTCAATATGCAGAAATCTACTGTATTTCTATACATCAATAATTAAGAAGCAGAAAAAAAACCCAAAGAATCATCCCATTTGCCCTGAAAACAATAAGAAACCTATCAACAAACCTAACTAAAGAGATGAAAGATATGTACTCTAAAAAATGATAGATTGCTTATGAAACAAATTGAGGAGGACACAAAGAAGGAAAAGGTTTCCATGGTCATGTATTGGAAGAACAAACACTTTTAACATGTCTGTGCTACCCAAAGTAATCTACACATTTAATGCAATCCCTATCAAAACACCATCAGCATTTTTCAGAGAGCTAGTACAAACAGTGCTGAAATGGATGTGGAACCAGAAAGGGCCCTGAATAGCCAAAGCAATTCTTAAAAAGAAAAACAAAACTAGAGGCATCATGTATTCCAGATTTCAAACTATACTACAATGCTGTAGACATTAAGATGGTACGGTAGTGGCACAAAAACATAGAGATACATAGATCAATGGGACAGAAGGGATCAGCTGGCTAGAGATGGGTGCTGGGTATTAAAGAGGGCAATTGTGATGATCGCTGGCTGTTGTATGTAAATGATGAATCACTGAAATCTACTCTAGAAACCAATATTGCACTCTATGTTAACTAAAATTGAAATTAAAAAAAGAGAAAGGGACTATATAATCATATATAAGGGGGACAATCCAATAAGAAGATATAACAATTGTAAATATTTATAAACTCAATATGGGAGCACTCAAATATATAAAACAATTAATAATAAACATAAAGGAGCTAATTGATAATAATACAATAATAGTAGGAAACTTTAACACCACACATACATCAATGGACAGATGATCTAAACAGAAAATCAAACAGAATTCAATGGCTTTGAATGATACACTGGGCCAGATGGATTTAACAGATATATTCAGAACACTGCATCCTAAATCAGAATACTCTGGTGCACACAGAACAGTCTCCAGAACAGATCGTGCATTAGGTCACACAATAAGCTTCAAGAAACACAAAAAGACTGAAGTCATACTATGCCTCTTTTCTCACCACAACACTATGATATTAGAGGTGAACCACAAGAAACTATCTGCAATGGCCATAAATACACAGAGGTTAAACATGCTACTAAGCAATGAATAAGGTGAACCAGTTAATCAAAGAAGATATTTAAAAATACATGGAATCAAATGAAAGTGAAAGCAAAACAGTCCAAAACCGTTGGGATGCAGCAAAAGCTGTCCTAAGAGAGAAGTATATGGCAATATAAGTCTACCTTAAAAAGGTAGAAAAACCTCAAAGAAACAACCTAACTTAACTGAAGGAAGTAGAAAAAGAACAACAAAGCCTAAAGCCAGCAGAAGGAAGGAAATAATAAAGATTTGAGCAGAAATAAATTATATAGAAATTCAAGAAACCAATAGGACAGATCAATGAAACCAGGAGCTGGTTCTTAGAAAATATTAATAAAATTGATAAACCCCTAGCCAGACTTATCAAAAAGAAAAGAGAAAGGACCCATATTAATAAAATCAGAAATGAGACAGGAGAAACAACAATGAATACCACATAAATACAAACTATTTTGAAAAACAGACAATCTGGAAGAAATGGATGAATTTCCAGGAACATATAAACTATCAAAACCCAAACAGGAGGAAATAGAACAATTTGAACAGACCAATAACCGGCAAAGAAGTTGAATCAGTGATCAAAAATCTTCTAAAAAGACTAGGACCAGATGGTTTCAAAGGAGAATTCTACTAAACTTTTAAAGAAAAGTTAATACTTATTTTTCTCAAACTATTCCAAACAATAGAAATGGAAGGAAAACTTCCAACTTCATTCTATGAGGCCAGCAATACCCTGCTACTAAAACCAGATAAGGATTCCACTACAAAAGAGAACTACAGGCCAATATCCCTGATGAACATGGATGCAAAAATTCTCAATAGAATAATAGCCAACTTAATCCAACCAAACATTAAAAAAATCATTCATCATCATCAAGTGGGATTTATTCCTGGGTTGTAAGGTAGTTGAATATTCACAAACCAATCAGCATGATAACATCACATTAATAAAAGAAAGGATAAGAACCGTAAGATCCTCTTAATAGATGCAAAAAAAGCATTTGACAAAGTACAGCCATTCATGATAAAAACTCTCCAGATAACAGGTTTAGAGGAAACATATCTCAATGTAATAAAGGCCATCTATGGAAAACTTACTGCAAACATCATCCATAATGGGGAAAAACTGAGAACTTCCTCTTAATGATCAGGAATAAGGCAAGGATGTCCACTCTCACCACTGTTATTTAACAGAGTACTGGAAGTCTTTGCCACTGCAATGGACAACAAAAAGAAATAAAAGGCATCCAAATCGGCAAGGGAGAAGTCTAACTTTCCCTGTTTTTATTTTATTTTTTTTTTAAGATTTTATTTATTTATTCATGAAAGACACAGAGAGAGAGACAGAGACAGAAGCAGGCTCCATGCAGAGAGCCGGACGCGGGACTCGATCCCAGGTCTCCAGGATCACACCCTGGGCTGAAGGCGGAGCTAAATCGCTGAGCCACCCAGGGATTCCCACTTTCCCTGTTTTTAGATGACACGATAATCTAGATAGAAAATCCGAAAGACCACCAGAAATTTGCTTGAACTGATACATGAATTCAGTAAAGTCGCAGGACACAAAATCAATGTACAGAAATCTGTTGCATTTCAATACACCAGTAATGAAGCAGCAAAAAGGGAAATTAAGGAATGAATCCCATTTACAATTGCACAATATCGAGGAATAAACTTAACCAATGTACTCTGAAGACTATAAAATACTGATGAAAGAAACCATGATGCAAAGAAACGGAAAGACAGTCCATGCTCATAGATTGGAA